AAAAGGACCTGCCTGGGAGCAAAGTCTCTTTGCTTAGAAGCTCCACTGATGAATTCAATTCCATCTGTGCATTTTCTGTGCTGATTTCAGGATTGTGTGACAAACAGTAAAAGAGGGCATTTCGAAAAATCACAATGCTAAAGTTCTAACTTTTGTTGCTAAATGTTTTTCCTTGTTATTTCAGTAGAAATTTTCCTGGGCTATTTTTACAGAATGAGGGAGAAAAAAAAAACACCTAGTGTTTATTTTCTTATATTTTGTTCCCTCTGCATGATTGTTAACAAATTTCTCAAATTGATCATACTTCAAATACCTAAAGTGATCCCCCAGAGGGTCCAAAGCTCCAAAATGACTAAGTGATGGGAGTGGAAGGGGCAGTCGAGTCAAGTACAATAATAGTGACAATGACCTTGGGGTCCAGAGAGTCCTCCATCACTAAGCAGCTCTGGCGAATTGGGTGAATCCAGTAAATTTGTTGGCTTTGATGTTTTCATCTAAGTAGTGAAGCAGTTGGCATAAAGTGATAGAGTCCCTTAAAACTGAACTTTATGGAAAATATTGTTCTGAGGAACTCAACAGGAAATTATTTTATAAATTAAAATTAAATCTAGGGAAATTCCAACCTGTATAATAAAGCTGAATAAAATAAATGCGTGAACCTTTTAAAGAGAGATTATGTATAATAAATTGTGTATATTGCACAATATTTCTCCATCCAAGGATAAAAAAAACGTCCTATGGCAAGACAGGGCCAGCAGAGGGCGTTTAGTTCCTGAGCCTCTTGCTGAAGGAGCCTTGGTCCAAATAAGGAAACAGTGCCTTTCTTTGAAACTTGCACTGCTTGAAAGCTGTGCTAAGGCTACTAATCTAAGCAAATATTTGCTTGCATTTTCCCAGAGGAGTAAAGATAAAGGCGTATTTTTAAAGAAGTAACTAAACAACATCAGCATTGTAAGCATGATGAAACTTTTAAAAGAATGTATAGACAATCTTTTCTTGTGTGAAACAAAGCATTAATTTCATGCAGAATATTTTAGAAGATCATTCTCATAGCAGTCCTTGAAAATTGTTTAAATGCTGTTTTCATTGTGTATATTTGAATAATTATAAAATTCCTTCGGACATAACCGAAAAGAAAAATCCAGAACAAACCAGATGCATATGTAGAATAATGAAAATGCTTATCTTTATTTAAAAATAATCAGAATAACATTAAAAGGAATTGTGGTTGGAATTAGCTCCCATCCTTCACACATTAGAAATTATTGCTAAACTCATTTAAGACATCAATAAAGAAACACAAATAAATTTGAGCTTTGTAAATATTCATAAAAGCAGATAAATCACCTAGTCACAGTAAAGGTCACTGTGGGAAGAGATATTTAAATAGAAAAATTATTATAAAAATGGTTGTTCCAATGCTTTTGTAAAGTATAACTGGATGTCATCATCATCATCCCAGACACTAAGATACAATAGATATGAAATATAGAACCAGACTTCCCTGTGTGCAGAATTTGCAATGGCAGTTTGGAACATCGACTCCATGATTTTTAGACCCTCCAACCTGCATAGTTACAAAAGGAACTGTGTTAGATTCCTAGGGCTGTCAGAACAAACTACCACAAACTGGATGGTTTAAAACAACAGAAATTGTCTCACAATTTTTAAGCCTACAAACCAATAATCAAATTGTGAGAGGGGGCGTATTCCTTCTAAACTGTAAGGGAGAATCATTCCTTGCTTCTTCTAGCTTCAGGAATTCACCAGCAGTTCCCATGGCTTGTAGGCAAATGGCTCCAATGCCCATCTCCCGATCCACAGGTCTGTTGTCTTCTTTCTGTATGTCTCTGTCTTCTTATAAGGATGGCAGACATTTTGGTTTAAGGGCCTGCCCTGCTCCAATATGACCTCCTGGTAACTTAAGTAATTACTCTACAATGGCCCTATTTCCAAATAAGTTCACATTCTGAGATATTGGGGTTTAGGATTTTTGTGTATCTTTTGCAGGGAGACAATTTAACACATAACAGGAGGACAGGAGGTTTCAAAAGGTGGAGAACTCTGTAAGGAATTCTATGAGGGGAGTAGTTGCCTTCCCTCTAGAGCAGTGGTTCTCAACCTGTGGGTCGCAACCCCTTTCACAGGGGTCGCCTAAGACCATCGGAAAACACATATATAATTACATATTGTTTTGTGATTAATCACTGTGCTTTAATTATGTTCAATTTGTAACAATGAAAATACATCCTGCATATCAGATATTTACATTACGATTCATAACAGTAGCAAAATTACAGTTATGAAGTAGCAACGAAAATAATTTTATGGTTGGGGTCACCACAACATGAGAAACTGTATTAAAGGGTCGCAGAATAAGGAAGGTTGAGAACCATTGCTAGAGGGATGGGGCCAGTTTTCAGTGACAAAGCTATGAAGAGGAGGACTCAAGGCAGGGGCAGTTTCATGGGTGTACAATCCATGCCTTTGAACAGGGCCCTGTAAACTTGAAAGTCTTAATAATTGTGAACAATGGGTCCTGCATTTTCATTTTGCATTGGTCCCTGCAAATTATGTAGGACCCCACTCTGAGAGCTTTCTATGTGCTTCTTATACTGGTGGGTTTGGCAGGCTGTGACCTGACTCACACATGGCAAAGCTGGCCATGAAACTGAATTACAGTGACTGCCCTGCCTGGGTCATCATGCCTCTCTGAGTTGTCAAGCGATAGAAAGTGGTCCTCTTAGCACTGCAGTGAGAGGTGCTTAGTGATGGGAATCTAGAAAGAACCACAGACAGTCAGGAGAGGGAGCATCAAATTCTGCCAGGCAAGAGAACAGGAAGGAGCTATAAAGAGGCAGTTCAGGTAAGACTCTCCTAGACTTTTACCAACCTGGAAGAATCAAAAGCTAATTAGAAGCCTGGAGGAATTTGGGAGTGGGCAAGGGAGATAAGAATGAAAACAAACAAACAAACAAACAAACAAAACAAAACAAAAAAACCCCCACAAAAACAAACAAACAGACAAACAAAAAACTTAAGAAGGTGAAATAGAGAAGTCAACGCTGCCCTGTCCCACTGCAGACTTCCAACCTAAAGCAGCCCAATGTAGAGAAGGGGAGGTGATCTGCCATTATATTTCACTCAGAGTTTCAATTGATAATATTAAACAGACCAATCTAATTTCTGAATTGAATCCCCAGGGGATCTAGATAAGTAAGCAGAAAAATAATAAACCCAGTAGTTTTCATCAAGGGGTAGGGAAAGATGCATAATCTCTTTTGACACATTTTAAAGGGTTGATAGGTATTATGGGCTGAACTGTGCCCACCCCCCTCCCCAATCCCCCAACAGGCATTTCCTTGTGGAAGTCGTAATTTCAGTGCCTCAAAATGTGACTATATTTGGAGTTCGGATCTTTAAAGATGTCATCAAGGTAAAATGAGGTCATTAGAGTGAGCCTTAATCTATAGGACTGTTGTCATAAGAAGAAAAGGTTAGGACACAGACAATCACAGAGGGAAGACCATGTGAAGATACAGGGAGAAAATGGCCATCTATAAGCCAAGGAAAGAGGTTCACTGAAGAAACCAATTCTGTTGATATCTTGATCTTGGACTTCCAGCCTCCAGTACTCTGAGAAAATGAACTTCTATTGTTTAAGCCACCCAGTATGTGCTACTCTGTTAAGGTGGCCCTAGCAAACTAATACAGTGGAAGGCAATAAAAACCGAGTTGTTACAGAGATCAAAATAATCTTGGAAAAAATAAGTAACATGGTCCACAAAATGGAATCAAAAGTCATTCTCTTCTCATGTGAGAGCTGAACTTAAAATAATTGAATAAAAATTGCCGCCTTAGTTGTTTGTAGAACTAACTTGACCAACAGATTACAAAGGAAGATATAGTTCAATTAAAGGAACGTCACTTATCAAGTTTTTATACTGTTGAGTAGAATGTATAACCTTTGTGAAGGATTTCCTTTGAAGATGTTGGCTTAAGAGGTTCTTGGGCTCCATCATTGACTTTGCATGTTCCTCTTCCGACTTGTGATTTTCAGAGAAATCCTGAGTAGCAATACTGTAACAGCAATCCTTTCAAGACTATGTTGTTGAGCTTAAAGGCTAGGGCTCCAGAGTTTAAAAGTGATTTGTAGAGCTGACTTCCTCCAATCTTATCAGATTGCTTTGGGAAACAAAAACATCCTGAGATCACCTTCCTTATATACTCCTTCTGGACATTGCAAGAGAAAAAACAGATGCCCACAGAATCCTGAACCATGCTTATCAGAGCCAATGGAAGAAAACAACTTAGTAACTCTCATAAAACTTTAATAATCAATGTTTATAAATAAATTATTCACACCAGGAACAAAGCAATAGAGATTATGTAGTATCAGTTAGAATTCGCTAACAATGAGTCTACAATCCACCTGACATTTCTTGGATATTTTGAGAATTATAGTCAAGCCCAGCCCAAACCACATGAGAAAGATAAGCATAGAAGAGAGGATAATTCTACCACCTTCACAGATTCACTAACAATGTTTAATAAAATTTACATGATGTACTTTTGTTATGATGTACTTTTGTTATGGAAAGAAAGATTTAAAGTGCGTTATAGAAATATCATTGTCTCTAAGTGAGGAATTGGGCATATGGTGGTGGGAACAAGGACTGCCTTTTATTGAGCACTTTATTTTGTTGAACCTGTGTGCGCTTTATAAGGCAAATATAGTTCAGGAAAGATGGTGCCGGCAAATAATATAGTTTGTTAAATTGAAACTTCACAAAAACCTTATAAAACCTGTGACACTGTCCCTATAATGCAGTTGAGGAAAAGGACTTGGAGAGATAAACTAGCTAGCTTCTCAAGATCACAGAGCAGAGATCATTTGAAAAGTTCATTTCATGTGAAAACTTTCACAGATAAACCTGCTATGCTGTGACTTTTTGTTTTTAAGAAGATATTATTTTATTAGCTGAATTTTATATTTTCAGGTATTTTCTTATACCGCTGACAAAGAAATCCGAACCGATGACTTGTGCTTGGATGTTTCTAGACTCAATGGACCTGTAATCATGTTAAAATGCCACCACATGAGAGGAAATCAGTTATGGGAATATGATGCTGAGGTATAGTATTTTCCTTCATTTACTTTTTTGGGAATCTTTCAACTGAGTTAATACTGGATGGGGCAAAAGTAGGTTTACAGTTGTGAGTATGTAAAACAGTTTATTTTTGTGTTATTATTGATTAATTATTGTATTATTTTCCATAACAACAACTGTAATCCTCCTTTTGCCCCACCCTGCATTTCAAATATATTTAAACCTAAGTTATTTTTTTCTGCACTGGAAAAACTGCACTTTCAAGCATGTATGCTCATATTACAAAATATTAGGATGGTATATAAGTAGGTTTTTGCCAAACTAGTCTGTAAGTATAAAATATGAATGAGAAACATAAAGTCACTTTTATGTGCTTAAAATTTGTTATCATATGTAATGCTCAACATAAATTAGGCAAAGGGCATGCTATGCTTATCTGAGAGTTATGTTTGCAGATGTACATACAGAACAGTATCAGCAATAGTTTCATATTTTTAATTTTACACCGTTGTAATCTCTGATATTTATGCTTCTCACTTTAAAGGAAAAAAACTGACAAGATTAGCTTGAACATTCTTTATAATAGTAAATACTTTGCAAAATTCAGTAAACTAATTAGGTACATAATCAGTTAAGCAACCTCTTCTCAATATAGCACGTTTTTCTGAGAGAAGAGAGGAAGAAAAAACCAATAAAATTATTGGGAATTTATAGCCAGGCAGTGTGTAAACACCAAACCAACCATCAGATGGAGCTAATAAAAAAGAAATATTTTCCTCTGCATGAGGAAGCTATCTTGAAACAGCTTCATTTCTTTCATTTCTCTTTGCTTAACAAAATGAATTTGTCGTCTGGGTTACATTTTCCACATTATTAAATGGTTGGTGACTTATTTAAGATAAGAAGTAAACCTCATTCTTACATGATAAATAATACAATAGAGGTAAATGAATTTCACAAATGCAGTCTTCTATGAAAGCTTAAAATATTCTGCAAGAGTAACATTTTAAAAACTAATCTGCAGATTTGTTGGTATTATTGATATTTTAACAAGGTCTTCTTTTTAAAAACTTTTGAATGTCATTTTAATTGGCATGATGTTGTAATTTCTTAAGTGGGATATCAGAAAAACTTACTGAATTCTTACATGATTTGAAGCTAGTTACATAGGGTTAAAGTTTGTCCCTAAGATTTATATAATATTTCCAAGTTTCTGGGATATAATTAAGGCAAACACCATGAATCCTGCCTGTGTTGCATCACTGTGTTTCATCCAGACTCTTTGGTCCTCTCAATACTTATTCATCTTCTTTGTCTGACCACCATTATTTTTCTCTTCAACTATTGTCATCACCACCCTTTATATTAAGGCTACAGAAGACATTTCCTCTAATAATACATGTGAGTAAGTTTGAACCTTTCTTTAGTCAGTTCCCTACCTCTTCTATGAGGAGAAGTGTAGATAAATGTACAGAAAAAGGAGAAATCCCGAAAGAAGTATTTTTTTAAATAAAACTTTTTGTTGTTATTGTTGCACTTTAGTTTTCACTAGGATCCTTGGACTTTATTGGGCGTGTGCTAAAATAAAGAAATCTAGCATATATTTTTAAGAAAAGGGGGAAGAATGTGCATATTTTTAATAAGATGGAATGTTGTTGAATTTTAGAATACCACTCAATCTTTAAACGTCTCCATAATTTTTGAGTGGATAATGCCTTTTATAGTCATGACTCAAGTTTCTTCATTTCTGAAATAACTGTTGTTGCTAATTAGGCATATGTTTTCATTTGTATTTCTATCAACCAGCAGGAAGACTATTGAATGCTAAGGGATTTTGAAAGAAAAGTGAAAAAAAATTGATTGCCTCACCTAAGATAAAGAAATGGTTTTTGTAAATTTACTAATTGGATGAGCCAGCATTATTTCTTGCAGCAGTTTTAGTTTATTGTACTATTTTGTATCATGAAAATTTTGTTTCTACAACACATACAAATAAAGCTTATACTATGTCTTAAATAGTATTAAGAAATGTTTATTTTTAAATTATCTAATCACCTTCATAATTATATAACAGTTGCCTTACATGATTATGTTTTCAAAATTAAATTGTGATATTCAACTTGTCTAAATTTTTAAATCATAATGTAAATTTTTTGCCAAATTTATAAATGTGTAAATCAGAATATAGAGAAGTCACAACACAATAGAATACCTGTAGGAATGATGCATTGCCTTTCTGGACATTTCAGTTTTGAAATAAAAAACATATTTTTTGTGAAAAGTAAGAAAAATGGAAACGACTTTAAAAAATTGGAATATATTTACTTTTTATGATCATTTCTTCTTTTAAATTTTAGGTTTAGGGTCACTTTAGTCTATGGAATGGTCCCCATCTTTGCTACCCAATGTGTGATTCTAAGACTAGTTAACAGCACCTGGGAACTTGATAGAAGTTAGGAATCTCAGGTATCACCCTGGACACACTAAATCAGAGTCTGTACTTCAACAAAATCCCCAAGGCATTCACATACATATTAAAGTTTAACAAGGACAGGTCTACACAGTGGCCGAATATCTACTAATCTTCCTTAGTCTTTTTATACACTGTTGAAAAATATTGCAAAGTTGGGAAACGGCATATATACTTTGGAAAATGACAAGGCTTCCAGGAGAGAAGGGGGAGGGAACAGGAGCAGAAGGTAAGAGGCGCAAAGTCAGGAGAGAGGAGTAACTGCCAAGTATTTCTAGTCTTTTCATATTCCAACCAGTGAAAAGTAGACAAGTGCTGCTTGCCACTTTAATTTATTCTTTATCTATTGCTATCAAAGGCAAAATTATTCTTCTCTGAGAAACCTCTGAGGTGGTGCAGTTTCAAAGCAGAATAAAACTTGGTGGTGTTCACAGAATTATAGAGCTGAAACTTCCCTTAAAGTTCTCTTCTTTGAGCCTTTATCAGCAGAACTCTAAAGCACAAAGATCACCCCACCAGCAGCGGAGGCAGAATTAGGTCCTAATAAAGTATTCAAAGAAAGCTAGTTATCACTGCAATTGTGAATCTCACAGTGTGAACAGCTGAAATATTCCATCACCTTATCTCCTGGAATCCTTTCAGTCTTAGAAAAGTAAGTCATAAATAAGAACAGAATTGTGGGAATATCCAGAGAAAAATGGAAACTGTGTCATAAAGCCTCAAAATATGGAATCTATTTAGTTGCTTTGGTTTGTTTACTTTTTAGAATGGGCAGGTGGGAGGGAGTGGAAGGGAATAAAGTATAGAGTGTCTATAATCTGTTTTCTCATGCAATTCTAATGATAGTCCTATCTATAATAATAAAAGCATAATATGCTAATTAGACCAGACGTCCTTCTGGACATCCTTCCAGACGGCCTTCTGTACAAAGCTGGGGCTGAGAGGGAAGCCTGGGTCCTAGGTACCAGAGGGAAGCTGGTACCGGCAGCCCGGAGAAGGAAGGCATACTCTTGCACAAATTTTGTGCATTAGGCCTCTAGTAAGATATTAATATTTTACTTGTATTCTTCACATTAGTAAACAAAAGCTTAAAGTATTTAAATGCCTTCTCTGGGTTTGCACACTACAGGTTTCTGGCACTTAATTGAGCATTCTTTCCACATTTTTCCACATTCTTCTTGAGGTCATTGAAAAACTAGAAGCAATTAGATGCTTTCAATCATTATGATCTGATGAGTTAAATGTACAGTATTATAAATGAAAGAAAGAAATACTATCCATTATTTGTGTTACCAAATTTTATTCACATAGAATTTCTCCTTAATCATTGGGAAGATGTCCTGCAATAAGCATTGTCTATTGAGACAAACAGTCATAAAACTACTTTGTCAATAGGGCCTAATTGCTTAGACTTTATCTATCCATATTCATAATACAATTCATATCTAATTGCTTCTACTTTTATTTGAGTGAAATAAAGTATATGTTGTTAAGCAATACATGTCTTTGGTTAACTTTGATTAAAAATATAGTACCCTATTTTCTTATTGAAATATTTCTTAAATAACACAACCATGAATTTAACTCAATATCACCTTTCCTGGCTAAACATGTTTGATTTAGGGGCAACCGAGCATCATTAGCAAATCTGCAAAGTCCTCACCTGATCTAGCATCACTTGAATAAATTACCTGAACACTTTGGTGCTATGAAAACCCATTGACTCAGAGTTAAGTCAAAAAAGGGAGGGGGGAACCCTACATTTCATCTCACTGAACCACTTTAAAAATTATTTTCATAAGGGTCTGTCATTCATCCATTCTATTTAATTCAGGTTTTCTTGTATTGCATTTGAACATTGCAATCATGTTTCAATCCATTAGAAATTCTCATTTTCCTGCAGTAAGTGCACATAATCACAGTTCCTTTTGAGCATCCAGGCAGCTACATACAGTGTGACAGTCTAATTTTGGAACAGAACACTTTTGCTCAACAAACACTATGCAACAAAATAAAAAGGGGAGCAAAATATGATGCTAAAAATAAGTCTTGTTTTTCATGTGACTGAGCAAGTTGACTGAGAAAATATTGTTATGAATTCAATATCCTTCTGTATCAAGTGTTTCAGAGTCATAATGCAAGGAATTTTTTTTAGTAGGTAAAATATGTTGAATTGGTATTTACCAAAATCACAGCAGCTAATATGTAGACTTTACTTATTACCTCTCTTATTTACCTTATCAGAAAGCAGGTAAATGGGAATATAATTTCAAGGTAAGTGATCTATTAACTGGCAACCCAGACATTTCCCTGTGTAGCACTCCTAATAAAAATAGTTGCTTGATTTGCTTTTCGAAGGCTGCCTGTATCAGACAAGTGTTACCTTTCCATATCCCTATTGACCCATAGCTGTGATTTCTTATGTAGAATAAATTAGTGAATAGGAAATTTAATAGTTTAGTATTGCAATTTTAGTTCTTGTTTATTAAACATTTTACTGGTTTACTGAACTACTCATTCTGTTTTAACAAATGCACATGTCACTTTATTTGGAGATCAGATTTAACATTTTGAATAACAACTTTATTATTTTAATTTTAAATGACCGTTATTCTGTACTTGATCAATAGGGGAAATCCTATTGTATTTACAATAATAATATTAAATTAAATATCTGTAACAGTATAAATTAATCTTACTTTGTTTATCCCTATGTATAATCATTTAGGTTTCATTTTAAACTTTTAGTATGCCATCTTTTAAACTGAGACCTGTATGATTGGTTCTTCAGTCAACCATACAGTCACTTCTGTTTGTTCATTAAAATTTCAAATTTTTTACTTGACTATTTTAATACAAAGGTACAAAGGTCTCATTTTATAATTTATGACTATTTTGTCTCTGAAATTGTTTCGCTAGCCTGTTTCAGTTGGTTTTCAGTAGTAATTATATCTTCAACAGAGTTGATATAAGGAAACTCCATGACATATCTTGTTTTAGGTGCAGACATACAAATAAGTTTAAAGGTAGGAAGTATTCACTTTTTCTTATGCATTTTAAAATACAATGATTAAAATTTTGTAAATCCCAGGAAATACTATTTTTTTACTTCAGAGGAGAAAAATTAGTGATCATATTACCCTGTTTTCTAGTCAATGTTAAATAAGGCTATAGGAAGAGAAATTTGGTAGTATGCTGCATGTCAGCCTGATATCACATTGCCTTCAAAGCTGAGTTAACATGACTGAATCTTCTAAAGCCGTGAGAGGCATTTGCAACAAATATAACAAAGAAGAATTTTAAGAAAAAAAATGTACACCCAATATGAAAAGATACAAGATCTTGAATAAATAGCAAAGGAAAATATGACTAGCCAATAAAAATGATAAACATTAATTTAAGGAACTATCAAAAACACATAAAAATCTGATGGGTGTTTTTTTATTCATATTTTTATGTTCCTGTCAATCTGTCAAGCAATGTTTTTAATGACAACACACAATGTTGCTGTAGATGCAGTAAAACTGACAACCACTATCCTGGCATATAATAAGCGTAAGAAATATTAGCTGTTGCTGCTATTATTGAATAATTATTATAGATACTTTTTAAAATTTGCTAATAGGTATTAAAATGTTTATACTTTTGACCTTGTGATTTTACTTGTAATAATTATTTCTAAAGAAAAGATTATAATGTGGAGAGACTGCTGGGCGATATTAATCACAGCATTCTTTACAATAGCTCCAAACTGGACAGAGATTGCCCCCAAATGAAAAAGTTAAATGATTTTTGGCAAATCTACTTTGTAGAAATTGTTTATTTTCTGTGTTTTTAAGATTATTTTAATGATAAAAGAGATGCCCACAATATAAATCGAAGGGTGTTTAGTTAGATGACCTCTATTACATAAATTTGCAGAATGTAAGTGATAAAAATTACTTGCTAGAAAACATAAAATAATTATTGGTATCTCTTCTAGGCAAAATACTCAGAAAAAAATAAAATGTTATTTTTCAAACAAATGAAAGCACCATATGTTTTTTAAATAGAAAATGATTTTTATCTCAATGGAGTTGTTTAGATTTCTAATTTTTCTTAGAAGTACCTAGGTCGTACTTAGGCATTTTTAAAGTACCTGTAGTGAAAATTTTTTGAATTTTTTAAATAATCATTCATGTGATAAACATTTTGGGTCAAAATATTACAAATGTATTTTTTTATGGAAAATTTACACTGTATTCATGTTCTGAAGTTACATTTCCTGAGCATAAGTAAAATCAAATTTTGTTTTTGTTTCAAACCAAGGAAAAGTTTATAATTTATTATTTTTTTACTGACACATGAAGTTCAGAATCACTAACACTGGGGTCTTTGATGTCAACAAGAAATTTACTAAGAAAAGTTCATTGCAAAACAAAAAAATCACTGAAGCTAGAGGATTATCAAATTAGAAATTTTAAATAATATAGATAGAAAATAACAATATAGATAGAAAATTCAAGTTTGGCTTTTTGAAAAATCCCCAAACTAGTCTCTTTAACAAATCAAACTATATACTTAATTGCTGTTTTACCAATAAAAATGTATTATATGTGATAATGTTACCTTTCCTACTTTTATAAGTCTTTAATTTACCATTTTACTGTAGGAAGTCAGTCCTTGAAATTGAAAATGCAATGATTTGTGTCCATTAAGCTGCCCAAAATATGTAGTTAATTTTATCAAAATATATTTTTCTGCATTAGCTCTTCACTAGGTGGTTTAATCAACAAAACTATGAGTGCCTCCTATGAGCCACACTGGGTTTGATGATGTAGGTTGTCATGATCCCTGGCCTTCCTGGAGTAGGCTCCTTCTGAGAAAATAGATGGAAAATAAGAAACAGACAAATTAATTACAAATTGTGTTTGGAGAATGGAGTCAAATTAAGAGCCCAAAATGGACTTGATATTTTTTCTTTTTCCTTCCTTCATTAACTTCCTAATTGGTATTTAGATGAATGTGATAATATGTATGTGGGACATTTTTAACACCACCAGGTTAGCCCTGTGAAGACATAGTGGAAACAGTTTGAGTACAAAGTAAAGCAAAGCCTTATAGCTCATTTATCCCTTAGATTTTCTCCTGGCATCCACTGAAGTTTAGGGCAAAGGAGAGAGGAAGCCAAAGACCATGATTGAAAACTCTGTGGACTAGTCAATGGTTTTGAATATCCATACTAACAAAATAATACATGTAGCACGAAAAACATTTAATTACTAGAATGGACACTGAGAATACAACCTTTTCTACCCAAGTTTTTCAGCATTTGATCTCAGGCTCTGCTCCATATTCTTAGTCCCATCTTCATTTGCTCCTGCCAATACACTTGATATGGAAGCCGTGTGAAAGGATGTGGCTCACAGCTCCGTGGATGTGATTATTGTGACATGTGCCTTCCATTCTTACCCAGTAGAAATTGTATGTTGTAGAGAATGATTGATTGGTTACTGCCTTTGTATTTGATTTTGTCATTATTCATTATTTTCTTTGTCAAACAGACCCACACTCTTCTTCACATAATCACCCAGTCCTGTCTCTCAGTAAGAAAAGTAACTGGTGGCTCCCAACAGCCCACTGTGGAAATATGTAATGATAGCTCTTTGCAAAAATGGCTACTAAGAAACTATACAAGAGCGGAAGTTTTTAGAAATATTTTTGAGAATCCTACTGATTACGTTCTCTAATAATTTTTGGAGGTTTGTGTTGCAGACTTTACTAATATTAGTTCAGTATTTTTGTTATCAAAATCTTGAAATTTACTTCTCTAATATGTGGTTTAGGATAATCTTTATGTGCTATTTCTCCATGGAGTTTTCTGTCTTATACTTCTGAGCTGCATATATTTAGTAGTGTTTAGTCTGTAATTAATTAGTAGGTATTTTCTAGGGTTTTTTCCTTTATTTTGAATAGATACGCCTAAATATAATTGATGGAATGTATTATGATATATTAGCTCTTTTTTAAGGCTAACTATAGTCATGTCTATATGACAATAGATTTCAGCAATAGAGCTGAAAACCTGTTAATAAAATTAAAAACATGAAAATTAAGATAGCCAAAATATTTCTTTTGGGACATTGAAATATTTAATGTTGTTCATTTCAACTCAGATACTTTGGTTGTGTGCAGATACACCATATCCTTTTTGGAATTTATTACTTTAAGCTGATACTAAGCAAATGCATTATTAAAGACTAAGATTATTGGTTAAATGATATAATTATAATAATAAAGCTTATAAAAATGTACATTTTCTCTGTCACTTGCATGATTTGTGAATATCTTCTCAGCAAGCAATAAAATGAATCATTATTCAGCTTATGCTAAAAAGAAGTACTGGTATGGAATTCTTGTAAAGAGTGAAATTGGTCTTAGGTGTTCATTTTCCAGTAAATAATGTATATTATATTTTCCAATACCTTGCTATGAAAACACATGAGAAGTTAGGGAGGGAGTTTTCTGGTTCAGATGAACCATTAAAGGTTGGAATTGAGTTTGGAATACTTATGACAAGGCTGGGAATAGAGGTCTGGAGAGGAGAGGAGAGGAGAGAAGAGTGTTGTTTAGGTTAGAACTACATTTGAGACTAGGGCATTCTAAACATGTGTTGGGAAGCTGGAAAAGTCTGGTTCTTTTACACAATGGTAACTTATGTATAGAGCAATTTACATATATTATCTTAGTTTGTTTTTAAAGCAACCTTAAATGGTAGATACAATACCCAACAAGGGACAGAATTCTAGGGTAGAAACCACAACTTGTTTCTCAGCAGAATTTGTCTCATTTCTCATAGCAATTCATACTGCTTTATGGGAGCTGGCAGCCCTGTGCAAGGGGGATGAGAGCCACATCAGGTGGGTGTGGAAAACAGCCTGGCTTCTTAGCCGTATGCCTCTCAGAAGACAGTGTCTCTGTAACAATTCCATAGGCAGAGCTTCAAGTAAACCAATGGAGCATGCAAAACTCCAAGTCTTTGCACTTAGAGAAGCCCAGTTTGGCTCCCCATGAGGTTTTTCACTGAAGTTGATTAGATGCAGATGCAGTTCATCAATCAGAGGTCATTTTTACCATAGGTAATGTTGCCTAGAAACATAGTTAACATTTTACCATTATCAGGTTGCCAAGGGGTCACAGTTAAGATAGTTGGCTGAGGTCAAATTTTTTAATCAGAAAAGAAAAGGGCATTTTTAAGTATTCATAAGTTTAAATGAGCATCTTCTCACAAAGAATCTGATTGCTCAGAATAATTTAAAAAATTGCTCAAGTTTTCACAGCCAGTAAGTGGGGGCGGAAGGGTGGGAATTTACACTTAGGGCTGCTTGACCCTAACATGTCTGCTGTTTCTACTGTACATCATTAAAAATGAGAGTTTTGTTTGGGTGGTTGTTATCTCTACAGTTGTGGTTTTTGACTACTAATGAATTCCTTCAAAGAAAACATACATTTTTAAACAGAACAACACTTGCTAATATTTTTTAAAGTATTCCTTTAAAAGGACTATATACACAGAGGATCTCAGGTATGTAACAAAAATGAGTATTTTGTTGATTTTAACTAGAGTTTGCTAGAAAAAAATTGTTTTGTTTTGAATTTTTTTCAAGTTGGCTGTTGGTTCATAAACCAACAATACAATTTCTGGCATCATAAGCATAAATCAACTACCTTCTTGCCTATGTTTGTTCATTTTTTCTTCATTCTTTAGTATAAATAGCTTGGTTCTGTGTATTGAAAGAGCATCAACAAAGGCCTCAGTCTTCAAATCTTCTTCATATCTGACAACCTTGCTTTTTTAATTTCATGCTTGTTGTCTATTAAGCATCCTCCACCACAAGCCTATTTTCCATTCCATCTTTTCTCAGGACGGTGAGGTCCAGGCTGTTTGCAGGTCTAATCCAAACAAATTACGATTGTCTAGGCAGTGTTTCTCCACCATTTTTATTGCATTCTCCCTGCATTATTTTCATACAACTTTCAATTGTAATAGTATGAGCCAGAAAAAAAATCTACATTTAATTTTGGTGATTCAAAACAAGATATATCTGCAAATCACCTCCCATGCATTGAAGCACTTCTCTTCTTGGAAGTTTTTTATGTAGTATGGTTCTAGGCATTGCCCATGAAACTGAGCAAACATGTACATAATTAGTGAGCATAAGTTAGTATAAAGCATGTGGACTTAAAATGTATATCTGTAAAGTCCAAAATACATAATTTCAAAATGTAAATGTGAACTCAAAAGGGAACATGTATAATGACAGTTAACATGATGCAATTTTTGGAATTACATTTCAGCATTTGGGTACTGAGATGATGCTTATTAATGAATATCATTATAAAGAAAATAAAATATAGATATAAATTTAAAAATATGTGACAGTCACATTCCTGATTTAATTTGGTATTAAATTTTTTAAAGATTCTCAGACATGCAAACTAAATTAGGGCGAGCATACTATCAAGTAAGACAGATCTTCACTGTGATAATCACTCAAATGCAATGAATTTCTCAGTCACAGATAGTATGGCCTGTTTAGTATTTGGAAACATCTCTAGCAGTTTTCTCATTTGGGTCACAGCTGTGACATCTCTTTGCATGTTTACCAAATGGTTACTGAATAACACATGCCTAAGATAACTAAGCTTTTGTGAAAGCTTGTTAATATTTACAGCCCTGGACTGAACTCAGAGCTCACAAATGGGCTTTTTGCAAAGGAGCCCGAATTCTTGGCAATGCGAAACACATGTTGGCTAATTTCTTTAGCCATCTGCAAATAAAGGTGTATTAGACAGTGATGAAACCCTGACAGGGAAAGCTGTATAATAATTAATTCACAACCACCTGTGCACAGTTCCTTCTATAAACATATCACAGTGTTTATACTAAAATAAATCATAAAGGTCTCTTAAAGGGCAGATTTAATGTGATGTGCTAGTGAAGTTAAAGATACAATATGTTGCACTGACTGTGGGTTATCTTTTCCAGAGACTCACCTTGAGACATGTGAACAGTAACCAGTGTCTCGATGAACCTTCTGAAGAAGACAAAATGGTGCCTACCATGCAGGACTGCAGTGGCAGCAGGTCCCAGCAGTGGCTGCTGAGGAACATGACTTTGGGGGCATGAAGACCACTTCCCCCAAGCCATGGAAGTGTCTACACTTTTGTTTTTCCATTATTTCAATTAAGGAAAAAGATTAACTTTGCTGAATTGAAAGTTTTAAAATCCTTTTAGTATTCTAAAACACAGTTGTTTATAATTCATTTTTAGGAATGTTTGCTTATTTCCCTACAAAATTTGTATCTGATCAAAAGCACATAAAAATATGAATAACAGCAAACTGTTATTAAACATTTGAAAAACTTTAAAAAAAAGTGTTTGCTTAAAAAAAACACACCTCTTTATTGCCCTCATGTCACAGGATTAGTTGTGGGGAGGGGTATTTTTATTTTTTATTTTCATAGTGATTGAAAGAGAGACAATGTAAATGCCTTATAAAATATCTTCATTATGAAATAGAATCATTTTATAAACTCGCTCTGTTTCTACTGGACCTTCATGGAAACATGTTGAATTTCTTTGTCAACAGCAGGCCACACATTGAATTATTTCTGAGCAATGAATTCATCATACACAATAAGTTCCAAGTTTTGTACCAGGAAAAAAAAAACAATAAACTGGACCTTGACTTACAGAGTTGTTATAAAAGCATCACATTTAAACAAAAAAAAAAGAGAAGAATTTGAAAATTCAATTTAAAGGACCTGAAATCAGAAGCAGCAAGCTAGGTGTGGCGGGGAGCAAGATGATGAAGCTAAACTGCAACAATTGAATCATTTAAGAAGATTCTGTTTAGGTGGTAATCAGTCCTCTCACAGGCTGAGTGTTTAACGATCATATTGGTTCCAGAATTAAAGTTGGAAACTCAATCCTTAACAACCATCTTTGTCTCCCATAAACCATGCAGCCCTTTTCACTCTAGAGACGGTGGCTTGTCACTTATGCTGTACAGAATTGTAGGCAGAGGGTGGATGGAGAGTATTAGTCCTGATTTTTTTTCTCCTACATTTAAAAATGTTAGGTCGCTATTACCATTTTAATTTTAAAAGATGATTCACTGCTATGCTAGAATATCTAAAAATTTCCTTACTAAGGCAATGAACTCAGTACACATCCATGAAACTTTTCTTTTCATTAATCTGTTCGATACCATTTGCCGTTAAGTTATGGCTCAAGGAGCACAGTCATGTTAGGCTAACTTCACGCATTCTATTTCCATATTAAATCCCTTTGTGCAAAATGAATGAGTAGAAGATACTAAAAAGAAGAAAACTATCAGTGAGAATTGAGCTAATAACTTTTAGTATTTCACATAATTTAAAATGCCCTTAAAGTAGCTCTACATATGTATTTTAGTCATTAATAAATACATTCAGCAGCTAAGAGAAATTGGGGAGGGGGGATGGAAGAAGCATCTTGCCATATTTTTGGCTCTCATCTTGTCTTAAAAAGCTCTGGAAAGCCAGTAAAATCTTGTATGATTTTCCTGCTAGCATTAGCATTATTTCTTTGGCTTTATACTGGTAAAACTCTAAGAAAGAATTCTACAACCTGGAGTACTTCAGGTGTACTTTTCAAAGTGCAGACATTCCTAAAACCACCAGTACCCAACTACAGGGCATGAGGGTTGTCATTAGCCAAGTTTTGTGGGAACTGCCTTTGAATGAACAACTGAAGACCTGTGAGGTCCCAGCTCCCAAAACAAACGGGATGTCCCTCAAAGGCAGCTTGGGTTCCTAGCTACAGACCCCGGGAAGGTGAACCAAATTCTTTTTTCACTGATTTTCCTTTCTAAGTTCATTTGCTTTTAGTTTTCCAAGAACTGTAAACTCTGGCTATTTTCTATGTTCTCAGGGGCCCTAGGTAGTCAACAAAGCATGGTTTCAGAGTAGACATAGGCCAAGAAACCGTGGCATTGATTGTGCTGAGTCTAGACAAATAAATTTATATACACATCCAAATTTGAAGAGAAAATGTATTTCTTTAGGTTTCAAACACTGTAATAGAAATAAAGCAAAAATAAAGACCTGTTGCAAAGTTAAAAAAAAAACACGACAAAAAGTGTAGACATTCCTCATCTTGTGGTCTCTGAGTATCCCCAAATCTTTTAAAATTACAAGCAAAAGTTTGAGTGTTGGGCATTTCTTTTTGGTAGAGAATCCATTGTTTACAGCAAATTTATACGGAAACTGTGACACCCCAGAGGTAGGGAACCACTGCCTTAAATTGACAGTGTCCTCACAAGTCACCTGAGGACTCTCTTTTTCTCCCCCTTTCCTCTTGTCTCACTAAATTAAAGCAAAATGTCCCTGCACATTTGTCCTTCAACTTATAAAGCTTAAACACTCAAGGACTCTTTAATACAATATATTCCATTTATTGTGGATTTGTCAAACAAAATACATGTTATCTAGAAAATGATCAAAGACAATTTTTTAAAAAAAATGGTTACTCTATCAAAACTGAATTTGACACATTTCAGCAGTATTTTAAATATCTGAAAGTTCATTATGGTCATAGCAAAAATACAAGAGAAATAAAAACGACATGAGTTATATGCCAGAGAAGAATTTTCCAAGAATCCTCAGATGGTATGAGCATATGTTATTAGAATGTCTAACAAACAAAAAATGACATAAAATATTAGAAAACACCAAAAACTAGAAAGCATTAGCTAATTCAATGTTCTTTTCAAAAAATTTATTGTATTCAATACAGAAATTAAAATCATGATTGGATTTTTATACTTTATTATCTTTCTAGACTAATAGATACTTCAAATGACTTCAAACTTCCTCTACTGAGGTCACCCCATTGCAACTCCAGTCTTCCAGATGCTCAGATCAAAAACCTAAAGTCAGTTTTGAGTCCTCTCTTTCTCTCTCAACTTCCATCTAATCCATCAGAAATACCCTTGATTCTAAACCAACTACTTACCACCACATCTTCTGTGTCACTACCTTTAACCTTTTTAACTGCAACCTGCTTATAATTTGGTTCTCTAATTTCCCAGCCCTTGCTCCTAAATAGTCTTTTCTCAATACAACAGCCACAGCGATTCTATTTAGCATAAATTTATTGTGTCACTTCTCTCTCACAACCCTCTAATGACTTCTCATGTCTCCCCCAACTTCTTATAGTGGTCTGTATAGTGTCACTCTTACAGTGTCATTCATGAATGATATTCCTATGAGCGCGCACGCACACACTTCTGAATACTTACTCCACTCTGGCTGCCAAGCAAGTGTCTGTCCTAGGTTTTTGTTCCCTTTGCCCACAGAGCTTTCTCACTCACTTTCTTCAAGTCTTTACTCAAATTTTATCTCATCAGTAAGGCAAACCCTTCTCCCCCTGCCCTTCCTAGTCCCTGTAAATTCTCAGACAAACTATCAATTTGCTTCTTTATTTTCTGTCTATCTTTCCACTTTCAAACCCCCTACATTACCATTGCACACCCTAGAATGTCAGTTTTTTTCACTGTGTTATTCCCAGTATCTAGTAGAGTTATTGGGATATAATAAGTCTTCTTTAAATATTTTTGAATGAACTGAAAAAATGTGTGTTAAAGTTACCAAGTGCTACTGTATCCTATATTTTTTGCACAGTATTTTAAATTTTAAAATAAAGTCAAGTAATATATTTAGACAGGATGTACATTACTTTCTCCAAATGATAATTTTCTTCCTACTATTCTTCAAATTAAAGGATGGGCTATATTTTGTTCTGTATGTTAGTATATCCTGCCTTCTGGAAATGAAATATATGACATTTTATAAACATGCTGCTACATTATATAAGTTGCTTCATTAAGATAAAAATGATTTTTATTTTTTTGGTTGTCTTTAATGGCCACCTTATGGCATAAATAAGATTTTTACTTTTAGGGGGGAGACATGTATCATTTTCTTAAAAACCATATGTATTTTTATTGTTTCACAGGAACTATTATTAAATGTATTTTCTAAGTTCAAGTCTATGAACAATTGTAGAAACTTTAAAAAACTTTACAAATGATTTATTCTTAGTTTCTCTGTTTATAGATAGTAAGAGAGAATCAGATATGTAATTTAGCTTGTTCAAAGATCATAAAGTCCTGATGTCAGGACTCATCATTGTTAATATAATTTAACACTGTCTTCAATTACAAAGCACTCAAAAATGTAATAAAAAGGGCACAATCATAAGAGAAAAAAATGTCTTTATTAAGCATTTTGTAGTAAGTACATTGATTCTTTAGAAATATCAACTTCTCTTCTTTAGATATATTATCCTTTTTAGAGATAATTAACTTTGGAGATTTAACTTCTCACCACCTTTCATACTTAAATAAAATTATGTTTACAAAATAAAGGCAATAAATAAAGACCTGCCACAAAAGTAGAGAAATTAACAGGAGACATCCTGATTACAGAACATTCTAGCATTATTGGGCAAACAGTGTTTCAGAGAAGCAAAGCCTCTTCAGCAGTAAATAGGGAGCATATTCTCCCCTCACTTCCATTTCCTTATGATTATGTTCAAGTTTAAAGTAATATTGGCTTACACCTTGCATTTAAAATTAGACCACCTATTACTGTGAACATTGAGTAGGTTCTAGGTTATTTGGCTAAAAAGACTGCAGGGTAATAAGCAGAGACTTCTAGGCTTTCCAGTGGAGCTCTGTAGACTCCAGTAAACACAACCCATACATTCAATGTTTCCATGGTGCTTAGAAACCGGTGTGGCTCAGTTGGCTGGAGGATCGTCCGTGCACAGAAGTGTGAATTCCGGGTCAGGGCACATGCTCAGGTTTCAGGTTCAAACCCTGGTTGGTAAGCATGGGGGAAGCAGCCGATCAGTGTTCCCCTCTCACATTGATGTTTCTCTCTTTCCCTCTCCCATCCTCTCTAAAATCAATGAAAAAGAAGAAGAAACAACCTAATAAATAAGTAAAAAGAGGGGATAAATAACTAACAATAAAATAACAGGAACAATTTTATTTTTTGTGAGAGTTGAGAGCATAGTACAAATTGATCCAATAAACCTGAAAATATTGGCTACCCCTACACTGTTTTCATCACTTGAGAAATGATCTTATCTGATCACAAGCATGTCACTTGCATCTCATTATAGATGCTACATCTAGTCTCAGAGGAGGCAAAACTTGTATGCATATTTAAGTTATAAAGTATGCTAACTTAACAAATATGAAGAATTTAAGGAATTCCAGATCCTAACGGATATGTCATCACCCACAAGCTATCTTTCTGCATAGCTGATATCTGCAAATCTTGAATAAATCTGCAATTCAGTTGAGCAGCAAAAATTCAATTAAAGCTTAAAGCAGCTGCTACACACCATTTTCCTCCAATATGTCAAATATGGAATAGAGAAACGCAGTCTTCTCCTGTACAGTACATGAACATATCTGACACAACAACATCATGTTCAAATTGCTATTAAATATAAGCTATTGTGTGAAATTAAGGTGTTGAGTGAACACCAGCAATGTGTTTTAAATAGTTTGTGTGAATTTGTGTCCACCTTTTGCTTCCTATTGTTCAATAAATTCTAAAGGCAGTTTTCATTGTATTTGTTTAAAAAACCCTCTGAAATACTACTGATGCAGGGCAGCTTTTTTGTTAACTATTTTTAAAGATAAAGATCACTTCTGTGATACTCATTTCATCATTATATGAAGTTATCTTCTGTTTTTAGGTGGGGAAAACAAATCATTTACTATTCTGTTTATAATGAGTTAGAACGAGGGTAGGAAATTAGATGAGTAAGGCTATATCTATAATGGTTAAGAAATGAGATTTTTATCATGCATTTAATTTGGTG